TACCACTGGACTACGTTCACCATTACCTGGTCTTTTTAGGTCCCTGCTGACCTTCCCCCCTTCCTTTACCCTCTCCTTCCACCCACCAAACGGTATAACCCTGTGATTTCACTCTTACCCATCCTCACCCCTCTCTTCCCTCCCCTTTACCCCTTGGGTTCTCATTTACATTTTACTAGTTATCCTTCTATTTTATAATAATGGTCTTATGCGATATTTGTTCTTATGAGTCTGAGTTTACTCAGCATAATGCTCTATAGACTCTCTTGTTATGTCACAGTATTTGAAATTGTTGCTCTGAGGACTGCTTAGTATTCCATCGTGAATATACCACAGTTTCTCACTCCATTCGATTGTATTTGGACATTTGGGCTGTTTTCATGTTCTTGTGATGGTGCATAATACTGCTGTGAACACTGGTGTACAAATCTGTGTTTATGTCTCAGTTCTAATTTCCTTGGAATTTAATCCTAGCAGTGGAATAACTGGGTCATACAGAGTTTTTATGTTCTAGTTTTTTTTTAAGAAATGCCAAACTGCATGGTACAAATGGTTCTGCCATTTTACAGTCCCACCAACAGTTCCACTGAGGTGCCTCTTGATGGACTTAAACCTTCACCTTTCAGTTAATAGCAAGGATGTTATCTGTTTGCACCATCCAGGGTCTTCCTCTAAGTGATGTTGTGTCTGTCTAGTTAATTATATATCATAGCAAATCTGTGAGATAAAGTGGAAGTGCTCGATAGGTTTTACTGGGCTATAATCCTTAGAGAAACAAATCTCCAAGTCTTTTCTCCTTTGAAGCCATTGGTAGTTTTAAACTTACAACCTTTTAATTAGTGCTGAATAGTGGTTGTTATTGTGTACCTAGGAGTTGTAACTGACCCATAGCTAACCCTCTGTTATATTTTCAAAGGCAGTAAATTGCACAGGAAGAGATTGTACATTTTCTCCCAAGGAGAAGTAGAAGGATTTGAACCATGGACTTTTGCATTGGCAGTTGATTCCTTACCACTAAGCCACCAGACCTCCATAGGACTAATTGGTGAAGGTGGCTGTTTGTGCCAGGTTTTATGTGGTAGATGAACTGCTGCTGAACTCTTCAGAGTCCTTTTATCTTCAGTAAATCGCAGCAGAATTAAATTCCCAGCCCCAAAGAAACGCATGCCATCCCTTAACAATAACAGCAAACCAAAGCAACCTCAGCATTTAAACTTTCAATCCACTCAACAAAGTGACATAGTAAAAAGAGTCTCTAAAGCTGATAGAATCAACCAGCACTTTCCCTAGCCTATGTTATAGCTGCAAAGCCAGCCTTGTTTCTTCACGAGTAAAAGCTGGGAGTTGAACTAGCAAATTTGTAGGTTTTCTACTGAGTTTTCAGTGGGCTGCCAAGAGAATAAACAGCTGTGTCTTAAACAAAGTGCTCCTTTTTAAACAATGATGCATCTACCCCATTATTCTAGTTAACTGTCAGTCCATCTCATGTGAAATTTCAGATGTGAAATTTTGGCTCACATAGTTTAGGCATGTTGTTAGGAGGGACCAGTGAAGGAAGACGCTCGATAAGATAGTTTAACACAGTGACTGTAGTGCGGGCTCAAGTGTCTTGGAGATGGTGAGGATGGCACAGGATCAGGCAAGTTTCAGATCCGTTGTTTATACGGTTGCTGAGTTGTACTCGATTCTCCTTAGAGCCATACACATCTGAATTTGTTGGCCCTTCTGGTGAGAATTTATTATTACGAGCAATGGGTGATAGAAGGAGAGTAGATAGCTTTAAGCTTTGGTGCTGGAGAAGAGTATTGAATATACCATAGACTGCTAGGAGAACAAACAGGTTTGTCCCGGAGAGGGTGAAGCCAGGCTGCTCCTTGGAGGCAAGGATTCTGAAGCTTCATCTGACAAACTTTGGACGTGTTGCAAGGAGGGACCAGTCCTTGGAGAGGAACATCATGCTTGGGAGGATGGAGGGACAGCACAGGAAAGGAAGATCCTTGATGAGATGGATTGATTCCGTCACTGGGGTAATGGGAATAGGCGTGTCAGAGACAATAAGATTAGCAAGGGATAGAGCAGGGTTTAGGGCTGTTTGGCTGCACATAACAACAACAACAACAGTTACTTGCTATGCATCAGAGAGCTGGACCGTGACCAAAGATGACATAAGAAGAATTAATGCCTTTGAGTTGTGGTGCTGGAGAAAAGAATTGAACATAGCATGGACTGCTAAGAGAACAAAAAGGTTCGACCTTGAGAGGGTGAAACCATGCTGCTCCTTAGAGGCAAGGATTTTGAAACTCCATCTCACATACTTTCATAATGTGGTCAGGGAGGACTCAACCCTGGAAAAAGACATCATGCTTGAAGGGTGGAGAGGGAACAGTGCAGGAGAGGAAGACCCTGGATTTGATGGATTGACACAGTAACTAGGATAATGGGGGTAAATGGGTCAGAGATAGTGAGACTGGCTCAGGAGAGAGCAGAGTTCAGAGCTATTGTTCATAGGGTTGATATGAGTCGCAAGCAACTTGATGGCACATGACAACAATAGGTTCTTACACTTACATAATACTTTCATTTTATAAAGCACACATCACTTTATCCTCAAGGAGCACACTTTATATTCCTGTTTTATAGACTGTGGTTGTGGTTGCCAGTGAGTTTTCAAGGCAGTAAATTGCATGGGAGGTGACTGCCGAACTTTCTCCCATGGAGCAGCTGGTGGATTCGAACTGCATGACTTTGGGATTGGAGCTCATAAGTGTCACTACATTAAGATAAACAGAAGGCTCCTGGACACATGTGGTGGACTTGTACCGCATGTAAACAATAATATTGATATTCTTTGTGGTTCCTGTTCACAGTTACCTTTGTACCTTATTGGCTGCCTTCCCAGCAGCTGCTTTCCGTTGACTTCCAGTGGTAGAGAAAATCCTTCAACCTTGCCCTACCCCTTGAGGATCTTGTTTTCTTTAAAAAAGTTAACTGCCATTGTGGCTGCTTCTGCCTTACTTCCTTTCTTGCTGCCATTTTGAATTTCTACCCCTGTTCTTTCTGTGGCTTGAACATTCACTGTTTTGGGTTTGGATTCCCTCCTAGGTCCTAATCTGTGCCCCAGGCTTAATACTTTCCGCATAATAATTTCATTTCCCCCACCTAGAAAACTCTTGAAAGTAAATGCTTCCCACTTCATTTCATGGATAAACTGACGCTCAGATAAACTGACACTCTGTGACTTCATGTCACAGAGTCAGAGACTTTGGAGAGTTGTCAACACTTATTTTATATGAGGTGGAATGTAGAGTCCTCACTCTGCTTTGTGTCTGGACTCTAAGGGCAGAGTCGTCACCAGCACAGAGAACTAATGTTCCCTGCAGGCTTCCTCTCATACTGGTTTCTTTTGACAGCTCAGCTAGGATAGTCTGCCCTTGTTAGCAGCAGAGTAACCACACCAGCTAGATGTGGGAATGACTCCTGAAAAACGAGTCCTTTGTCCCAGTCTGTGCTCTAATGGTCAGACCAAGATCACAAGAGTTGAACTGGCTCATACGTGATCCTAATTGGGATTCTGAGGCTGTAAATCCAGTGGGAGGAGATTGTCCATTTTCTCCCTCAGAGCTGCTGGTTGACTTGAACCACTGAGGTACCACCAGAGCTTGTGTGCTGACCATCTGAGGGAGCACCATGTACCTGGTAGACAGCATAGGTTTGTATATTTTACACTTCCAACAATAATTATTTACAAATTTACTACCCAGTGACTTTTTCCATTAATGAAATGTGTCTGACAGTAAGGAATGCAGAAGTGTGAGGTGAGTGTAATACTGACTGTGATGGTTAAGGTTATTTGCCAACTTGGCTGGACCATGGTTCTCAGTGATTAGCCAGTTATGCAGCTATCTCCCATTTTGTGAACTAATGTAGTCATCTTACATTTTTGAGAAATACCAATTTCCCCACGACAACCTAGACTTTGGAACCTAACCATTATGATAAGTAAGAAGTAAATTTACTGGCTTATCTCTGTGCCCACTCTGCTCTTTTTCTGTCTTGAAATTGACTAGGTTTAAGACACACTCTACACTGATGGCCTTATTAACATTAACCAGGAATAGTCAGCTTCCAAATGGCATTACATCAACAGATAGATTAGAATTCCTAGCACTATATTTTGGAAGGACACAGTACAATTCCTAATAGGCCATTCCCCAGCAAATGCAAAGAGCTCATGAACCAGAGTGCTTCCCACTGAAGTGTAGACTGGTAGTAGCCCAGCTCTTGGGGTTTATTCCCCAGGGGGAAAGTCCCTCAAGGTTTCTGTTTGCAAACCAAAAAACTAACCCGAAGAGAAACTGAAAGACATTGATTTTAGTGTATTGAAATAGGAAACTTTTCATGGGGGGAGCAGCAGCCTGCCAGATTTTTCCATTAAAGGTGTGGGGATAGTAACCACCCTTTTATATCCTTACCTACCCCTCCATGGTTAGGTTAAGGAATGCAAAGGTTAATGAAATATATAACTTAAGGAGAAACCATCATCCACTTGACCTTTATCTAGTTCTATTGGAATGGCTAAAACCCCAAAAGGGCAAGGGTGCTTTTGCCGCATCTGCCCCAGAGCTATTCACTGACAAGGAACTAAAAAAACAGGTCTAAGTACTCAAGTAACTCAACTTAGATGTGACCATTTTTGGCATGTTCACAAACTAGTATCAGCTCTCCATTCTACCAACCTACCATCTCTGGGCCTCACTTTCTTCATTTATAAAATGAAGACATGAACTAGCTGATTGATAAAGGTCTCTTTTGACTGACATAATGTATGCTTCATGGGAGCTGATAAATACCTATTGATTGATTGGTTCATTTGTGGAGCTGGCCATCCCTGTACTAGGCCACCACGTCGGCCTTTTGTGTTCCAGCTGTTGACTACTGCTTTTTTTCTCCAAGGAGAAGCCCCTGCCAGTGAACGAAGGCTCCTCAGTGCTTTGGGCACCATGGCCACATCAGCCCCTCTTCGGAGCCTGGAAGAGGAGGTAACCTGTTCCATCTGCCTCGATTATCTGCGGGACCCTGTGACCATCGACTGTGGCCATGTCTTCTGTCGCAGCTGTACTATTGATGTCCGCCCCATGACGGGGGCCCGTCCCGTCTGCCCACTCTGTAAGAAGCCCTTCAAGAAGGAGAACATACGCCCTGTGTGGCAGCTGGCCAGCCTGGTGGAGAACATCGAGCGACTGAAGGTGGACAATGGCCGACGGTCAGGGGAAGGGGTGCTGGAACAGCAGCACGTCAAGCTGTGTGAGCGACATCAGGAGAAGTTGCATTACTACTGCGAGGATGATGGGAAGCTGCTGTGTGTGATGTGCAGGGAGTCCCGGGAGCACCGGCCCCACACAGCTATCCTGTTGGAGAAAGCTGCGCAGCCCCACAGGGTAAGTCCTCCTCATTCCAAGATGTCACCTTCCTTGGGGGATGCGCACCCTGCGGTCCTTCCAGAGGCAGGACTGGCTAAGACCTCTTGGAAGGTTCCTTTTGAGCCAAGAACTAGAGCCTTAGTCTACCTCCCTGCTCGAGCCCCACCTGTTCTCACTACTTTTCTTTCCACAGGAAAAAATCCTGAACCACCTGACTACCCTCAGGAGAGATAGAGACAAAATTCAGGGCTTTCAGACGAAAGGAGACATTGATATCTTGGCTGCACTGGTATGTGAGACTGATGGGCAGAGGGCATGAGCAAGCAAAGCCAGGGAGCACTTACTGGAGAGGATGAGTGTTGGACAAGTTTAACCCTAATCTTGCTGGTCTGAGTTGTGTTTTATTAGACCTACATTCTCATCTGATCAGTCAGTGGGCTGCTCAGGTGTCAGCTAAGACCCCTTCTCTTTGTTGATCCCCTCAGCTTCAGACTCATGTCTGACAATGGTTGCTATTCTACCAGAGAAAATCAATGTGTAAGGAACCAGGGAAGGTCTTGCTTCATTCTTCAAAGAGTGAAGGAAAGTCCTGATTCCTGAGAGGAGGGGAGTTGGGCTTTGGTGGGAAAGGAGCTGGCTTGAGATGAGAAGTGAGTGGGAGGTTGAGGGGAAGGCCTGATCAAGTGCGTTTACTGTGTCTAATAAATCCCAGGGCAAGGCCACACAGTTGTACATAGTGTGTTTGATTGGAGATGGGGCATGAGTAAAGAAACCGATAAGATTGTTCCAGTTTTCTAGGGGAGTTGTTGGGGGAGTGAGCAGTAAATGCCTGCTGTAAGCAGTTACGCCCTGAGAAGAGGAGATAGGAGCAGCCCAGGCCCAGTGTGCCTCTGGTCATCACTCAGGGTCAGGAAGGGACATGCGGAGGGAACAAGGTGCATTCTTTCAGGACAGGGTTGGGGTGCTCTCAGTTGAGGGGGGACACTAGAAGACTGGTCAAGCTCGAATGATGTTAATCAAGGAAAGCTTCCAGGGAATGGAGAACATATGGTGACTGGTGTCCTAGAGGAAAAAGTGACAGCTCACAAGTGAGATCCAGAGTTCCGCGAAGGGCTCGGCACCATCAGCTCACCTAGAACAGTAATTTAGGCTTTAGTAGCAAAGTGTTGCACAGGTATCAGCCCAATCTGAGAGTGACTGAGCAAATTTATTCACTCACTGTCTTGTCTTTGAAGGCAGGAGGTGGACTAGCACTGCTTTAAAGCTCTTCCCCTGCTTTAAAGCTCTTCCCATACTACTAGTGCCCATCCAGTTGCTGAGTTGACTTAGATTTGTGATGACTCTACGTGTGTTAGAGTTGAACTGTGTTCCATAGGGCTTTCCATGGCTAATTTTTCAAAAGGAGATCTCCAGGTCTTTCTTCTGTGGTGCCTCTGAGCACATCCATGAATGAGGTTAATGAAGGGAGAAGAGTCAGTCAGCCTTGTGCCTTTCTTATGCCAGGACCTGGAGGAATCCTCATCCTGGTTGCCCTGTAACCCTGTGTCTCTCTCCCCTCCCTGCAGAAGAAACTTCAGGACCAGAGGCAGTGCATCGTGACTGAGTTTGAGAAGGGCCACCAGTTCCTGAAGGAGCGAGAGCAGCATCTGTTGGATCAACTGATGAAGTTGGAGCAGGAGCTCACAGAAGGCAGGGAGAAGTACAAGGCCAGGGGAGTCGGAGAGCTCACCCGTTTGGCACTGGTCATCTCCGAGCTGGAGGGCAAGGCACAGCAGCCGGCTGCAGAGTTTATGCAGGTGACAGATTCCCTGGGGCTGGGAGCCGGGAGAGCAGACAATTGGCTACATTAGTAGAGTGACTTCTCAGGGCCTTGCTTTCACACCTAATCACTTACCATGCATCATTTGAGCGGAAAGTGGGGTAGCTATTCTGATGTCATTTAAAAAAATCAAAATTTCTACAATAAAACATTTTTTAAAGTGCTGAAGAAATGAATGGCACGGTCATTTTGCCATTATTATCCTCTCGGGAGCTCTGATGGTATAATATACAGGAAGTTGCACTGCTAATCCACAGGTCTCTGGCAGTGTAAATCCATCAGTGGCTCTGCAGGAGAAGGATGGACAGTCTCCTCCCATGTCATTTACAACCTTGGAAACCCATTGGAGGGTCAGCTGTGAGTCAGTTCAGCTAAATGGCAAAGAGATTTTTTGAGTTTATCAACGTCTGTCTCATCACTGCCACAAGAGCTCCTAACAGGCATTGGCAGCTACCTCTCAAGGAAGCTTTTTATGGATCTTGAGGTATTAAGACTAGTGTCCTGGTCAAAGTGGTTTAAGGAGGGCAGGACAGTGACTTCTTTCAAGGAGTGTCTGAGAGACATAATTGGAGAAAGGAGACAGTTACAGTTTATTTAGGAACTTAGAAATAACCAACAGAGAGATGAGGTAAAGATAAGGTAAGGAACATGTCCTGGAAGAAGTGGCTTTGATGTCCAGAAAGGGAGAAACCTGGACCAAGTGGCTGGCTGATGGGTTGGCATGGTTTGGGGTGGCTGATCCTGTCTATCCTGTCAGCAGTGCAATCACCAGGGTCTCTAGGAAAATGCTCTCCTGGTCAGCAAAAGGGCAGATTGGTTGCCAAGAGGGGAGCGATGACATGACAAGTTCCCCTAGTGTGTGAGCTGGGACAGGGCTCAAGGAGAGGTGGCACTGGCCTGTCTCTTCACAGTGGTGAATGTGGCATGACAGGGATTTTTAGTAATTCGTCCAGCCCAGCTTCTTACTAGTCAAGTCACTGAGATCCAGAGAGTGCAAGTAGCCTGCCCAGGCCAGAAGATCAAGTTAGTAGCTGATCGGATTGCAAGCTCTGGGCTTCTGATACTAGGCTGCAATAATCTTGTTCTCCTGTTATCTTACTTTGTCAAAAAATGATTTCTACCCTTCATTTCTACCATAAGTATGTTTTCTCAGATTTTTAAAAGTCTTGTTCCTTTGAATTTGACTTTTTGGCGGGTCCCTTGCTACCCACCCCCTTCCTGTGACTGCTCACAGCCATGCCCCTGAGATGGCCTCTCCTTCTCTCAAGCTCTCCCATTCCACTGTTCTTTAGTGACAGAATGTTCCAAGTGACAAAATATGCCCACGTGGCTTACTGACCATATCCCAGCTACAACTTCCTTCTTTGACTCAGCATGTTCGTCAGCACACACATCTCAGCTTTGTTATCTACTGACTTAAGGGACACATTGTTGTTGTTATATGCCATTGAGTCACCTTCAACTCATAGTGACCTCTGGGTACAATAGCTCTGAATCCTGCCCTGTCCTGAGCCAGTCCCACTGACTCTGACACATCTACCCCTATTGCCCCAGTTACTGTATCAACTCATTTCATCCGGTTCTCCTTCCCTCCACTGTCCCTCCATCCTTCCAAGCATGATGTCCTTCAAAGACTAGTACCTCCTGGCCATGTGCCCAGAGTATGTGAGACAGAGCTTCAAAATCTTTGCCTCAAAAGGAGCAACTTGGTTTCACCCTCTCCAAGACAGACCTGTTTGTTCTCTTGGCAGTCCATGGTATGTTCAGTACTCTTCTCCAGCACTACAACTCAAAGGTACCGATTCTTCTATTATCCTTAGTCATTGTCCAGCTCTCTAATGGATAACAAGTTTAATTCCAAAGATCATGGCCTGGATTAGATGTACCTTAGTCCGTCCCTAGACTGACACCATTACTCTGTAGGATTTTGGAGAGGTCCCTGACAGTAGACTTCCCTAATGCAATTCATCTTTTGATTTCCTGACTGCGGGTTCCAAGAGTATTGACATTAGAGAGTTTTATCAGAAATTCAAAACCAGAACTCTTGGCTGTTGCTTCATAGTGGGGGCCAGAGTGTAGATCTGATTGCTTGTGTTGCCTGCCTTGGAGCCAAGCCCCCAGTTCTTTCCAAGTCTGTCTAAAGCAACCACTAGTTGCCACAATTCAGTAATTCCATTTGTTGTCCTTAACATTATCCCTTACTAACATTTTATAACGTATTTGTTAAGTTGATTAAGGAGCTTTAGATAAGTCTTGGAGAGAGTGCAGCCAGAGCTTTGAAGGCAAGGATGACAAAGCTTTGTTTCACATACTTTGAACATATGTTAGAGAGGCTATTCCTTAGAGAGAGATATGCTTGGAAAGGCAAAGGGTCAGCAAAAGAGAGGAAGACCCCTCAACCATATTAATTGACACAATGACTGCAGCAGTGGGCTTGAGTCTGTCAGAGATGATGAAGATGGCACAGGATAGGACAGGGTTCAGATCTGTTGTTTTTAGGGTCGCTATGAGTCATGCTTGACTTGATGACAATAACAGTGGCATGGTTGCTAATAGGGAGGACAACTAACAGCATATGTCATGCAAATGACACAGCCTGGCTTTAAGAAAGTGATTTGGATTTAAAGCACTTGCTACAGAAGATCAAGAACTTCAATATAAATTATGTATCAACATCAAGAAAGCAAAAATCCTCACCACTGGACCAATTTTCCCTATCAGGATAGATGGGGAAAAGATGAAAGTTGTCAATGATTTCATCTTAACTTGGATGAAATCTTACAATCGATACCTATGGTAGCAGTGGTCAAGAAATTAAAAAAAATTTGTTTCATTTGGAAAATTGGTCATCAAGGACTTCTCTCAAGTGCTAAAGAGTAATGATGTCAGTTTAAAGACTAAGGTGTGCATAATCCAAGCCATCGTGTCTGGAAGTTTGACAGTGAATAAAGATCACAGAAGAAGAATTGATGCTTTTACATTTTGATGCTGGAGAAAAGTACTGGATATCCTGCTAAAAGAACAATCAAATCTGTCTTAGAGGAAATGCAACCAGAGTGTTCCTTAGAGGCAAAGATGATGAAATTTCATCTTACATACTTGGGGCATGTTATCAGGAGGAGCTAATCCTTGGAAAAAGAGGATATATTAGGAAAGGGAGACAATCAGAAAAAGAGGAAGACCTTTAAAAGAAGGATTGATGCAGTGATTGTAACAATGGGCTCAAGATCATCAGGATAGGGAAGGCTTCAGATCTGTTGTTAATAGGATCATTATGAGTCTTAGTTGATTCAAAGGCACCTAATAACAACTGAAAGATCAGCAATTTGAAGCCACCAGCAGCTTCTCAGAAGAAAGATGTGGCAATCTGCTTCCATAAAGATATAGCCTTGGAAACCCTCGGTGGAGGAGGGAGGAGTTACAGGGTTGTGAGTTCAAATCAGCTTGATGACAATTAATTTGGGCTTTGTTGTGTTATTTGATATATTGCTACCTACTTCTAGAATGCCAGCATACAGAGGCTAGAATTGGTTTCTTATTCTCTGTTCTATCCAAGGTTTCTGAAGCAGTTCTTAGCACCTAGGAAGCACCTAATAAATATTGTGAATGAGATAACTCATTGAGTCAGAACCAACTCATAGCTGGCCCTCTGGGTTTTCTGAAGCTGTAAATCAAGTGGAGGGAGATTGTTCATTTTTTTTCCTGTGGAGCATCTAAAGGATTTCTTGGGCCAGAGAGGTGTGGCCTCTGATTAGCAGCACAGGTGCCTGCGGACTACACCACCAGAGCTCCCTCACTTAGGTCTCTCAGTCACTCACTTATTGCTGTTGAATCAAAACCAACACATAGCTGACCCTCCCTCAGGTTTTCAGAGACTATAAATCACACAAGAAGATTCTGCCCATCTTTCTGCTGCAGAGCTTCTGGTACATTTAAGCCACTAGAGAGGTACCACCTTTGGATTAGCCACATAACTTTCCATGGACTACGTCATCAGAGCTGTGTGGTGGAAGAGAAGGAAGGCAGGATTCATTCATTAATCAGAGTGCTATGGAGGCTTTAGAGTCACCAGAGGGGACCTAACTAACATCTCACAAATGGATCATCTTCTCATTCCAGTGTGCTCACCATCCACCTTCCCTTCACACAGTTAGCATCACTTGTCCTCTCTCCTGCTGAAGCCATGGCCTTGATGATCCTTAACCAGTCTCTGCAGTTGAATTTGCCACTAAAACATTAGGAGTGGATGACTACTCATTTCTATAGCAGCTACCCTATTTCTGACCCCTGTTATCTCACCTTGTCTACAGCAACAGCCTCCGACTATTTTCCCCACCTTTGCATTGCCCCTTAGTCCATTCTGGGAAATGGAGTCCCTTGCTTGTGGCTGTCTGCCCAGGTCGAATTCCAGGAGTTCTGTTACTGAAGAGAAGGAAAGAGTAGGTTGGAGGACACTTGGTTATCTCTATAGGAGGCAGATCACACATTTTCCACTCTCCTACTTGAAATTCTTGGGTAGTTTTTCCCTGGATGAAGAACAAAATTCAAACTGGTACCCACTGCCTAGTAAGCTCTAGTGGACTACTGGCAAGACTGTGCTGCAGTCCCAAAGGCACGTGGTTCGAGACCACAAGCTGCTGCTCTGCAGAAGGAGGATGGACAATCTCCCTTGTGATTAACTGCCTCTGAAAACCTGCTGGAGGGTCAGCTATGGGTTGGTTCTGACCCAACAGTATACAGCAACAGCAACCCACTGCCTATCTAGTCCTGTGTGATCTGGACCTTGACTCCTTTGCCTTTGCCTTTTCACTTCCTCTTTACATTCAACATGGCCAGCACCTTCTCATCCTTCAAATATTCTATAGAAGAGGTCACCTTGCTGCAACAATGAATGAATGGAAATCCAAAGTCTCTATAAACTTTCATTATGATTAATAATAATTAAAAAAAGAGGTCACTTTGCCATTTTTCTGACCCCCTCCAACCCCTTATTTGCTTGATTATTTTGGTGTTGTTTTATATCTGATATTTGGTACTGTTTTAAATCTGACCACTCAGTGTCAGCTTCATTAAGTGGAACCATATTTCTCTGTTCATTTAGTCTCTAACACAGTATGGGATGCATATAAATGAAGGATTTAATTGATTGACATTGATGTTTGTTGTGGGTTTTTTTTTTCTTTTTCAGGACACCAGAGACTTCTTAAACAGGTAAAAGAGCTTTCCTTCCATGTTATGTGTACCGTCAAGTCAGAACTGACCTATAGCTGATCCACCAGCGTCGGTTTTTCAGAGGTAGTAAATCACGTGGGAGGAGATTGCCTATCTTTCCCCCACAGAGCACCTGGTGAATTCAGACACTTCCTTACCATTAAGTATTCTGTGCCTTTATGCTCTTCTTTTTTTCTTACCACAACCTATTTGAATTAATGGAGAGTAATGGTGATGCTCCTCTAGTGTTCATAGGCTTTTCTAAGGCCTGTTATTTAAGAAGTGAATGGCTAGTCCTGCTTTTTAGTCTGTCTTAATCTGGGAGCTCTACTAAAACCTGTCCACCGTCGGTAACCCTTATGGCTTTTGGCACACTAGCAGCACAGCTTTCAGTATCACAGCAACCCACAAGCTATCTCAGTATAGCAAACTAACAGACAAGTGCCGTACCAATTAGAACAGTTAATCCACAGTTAACTCCCTTGGACCAGAAGTCAGGAAATAAGCAGATGCATTGCACTGGGAAAGTTAGGGACCTCTCCATATTATTAAAGAGTAATGATGTCACTTTGAGGACTAAGGTGTGTCTGATTCAGGCCATAGGCTTTCCAATTACTTGCCATCCATATGTGATCTGGACAGTGAATAGGCATGACAGAAAAATTGATGCCTTTGAGCTGTAGTTTTGGAGAAGAACACTGAACATCCTGTGGACAGCCAAAAGAACAAAAATGTCTTATAGAGGGTGCAGTCGGGGAGTGCTCTTTGGAGGCAAGGTTGATGAGGCTTCACTTCACATACTTTGGGCATGTTTCTAGGAGGGGCTATTACTTGGACATGATGCTTGGAAGGGTGGATGGTCAGCAAAAGAGAGGAAGACCCTTGACCAGGCGATTGACTGCCACAATGGGCTCTGGTGTGCCAGGACGTGTGAGGATGGCACAGGATAGGATGGGGTTTAGATTCGCTGTTCATAGGGTTGCTATGAGTCGTACTCAGCTCATTGGCACCTAACAACAAGAGCAGTGGTTATCTAGTAACAGGGAAAGCCTAGGATGTGACTGGCAAGGTTGGAAGTTTGAACTTCCCAGGTGCTCCATGGGAAGAAGATGTGACAGTTGGTGTCCATAGAGATTTACCAAATTGGAAGTCCTAGGCAGTTCTATGTCCTACAGGATTGCTGTGAGTTGGAATCAACCCGATGGCCATGAGTTTAGTTTTTTGGGTTTAAGAATGACACCAGAGACATTCTCACTCAGTGGTTTATTCTGATGCCCCTCTCCTTTCCTTCTGGGAAGTAAAACCACAAATTTTCAGAATTGTCTTAATCTCCACCCCCGCAAGTTCCCTGTATAATCCAAGCTCCTTAGCCAACTGTCTTTGGGATAGAACGGTGTGGAGAGGGTGGACACATGGCTTAGAGGACAGAAGTGATCTGATGAGGAGACATCTGAGGGTCACAAGTCCTGGCTCTGTTCCTTACTGGTCTTGGGCAGTTCACTTGGTGTCTCTGAGCCTGTTTTCCTCTCTGTTGATTGGAGTTAATCATACCTTTTCCATCCCCTTCACAAAATTGACATGAAAATAAAAAGAAGAAAGTGAACATTGAGTAACTGGTTGAATGTCATCATTGCAGGTATCCACGGAAGAAGTTCTGGATTGGGAAGCCCATTACCCGAGTAGTTAAAAAAAAAACTGGCGAATTCTCAGATAAACTTTACTCTCTGCAGCGAGGCCTGAGAGAATTCCAAGGTGAGGGTGAAGGGAGTACTGGGGTGGAGGTCCAGAACTGGGGTACTACTTTGTAAGACAGACCTTGACTCCTACCCTAGCCTCTGACATTGCTCTTTAGAAGTCTGGATATTTTCTCTTTTCTTCTTGGAGTTTCAGGTATGGAACTCTGCCATGAAATGAAAACTCCCCATGTAGGAAATGGGCCCATGTGTTTGCTGAACTTGAGCTTCATAGCTTTCTTTTTCCTTTTCCTTTCCCCAGGGAAGCTGCTGAGAGACCTGGAATATAAGACAGGTGAGTGTCCAAAGGGTTGTTTCCCTGTTTACCTCCGTGAATAGAATACCCTCTGCAGACATTCTGTCCCCTCGACTGTCTCTGAATAGTCCATTCTCTATTGGAACAGGGAGAATTTCTAAGTTGCTAATTTGAATCCCTCCCTTTATATTATTTTCTGCTGCTCTATAGTCTGCATCTGCCAACGACAACAGTCTGTCATCTGCAGTTGAGGCCTCCAATTGATGGCCTGACCTCTGTGGCTGAGTTCCTTAGCTGCCCAACCCAGTGGGTCCTGTGTGGTTGCCTAGGGCCAGAGGCCACGTCTGCACCAGTGGCTTGGCCATGGTCCCTTTGGCCTGACTCTCAGGTTGTTTGACAGTGCTCCTGCATTGTGCAGTGTGGCAGCCAACCTGCTGCGCAGCCATGGACCCCGTGTTGCCTGGGCTGGTCTTCGGAACCACTACTGATAGCATTTCTTCTTCCATTCTCCCCACAGTCAGTGTCACTCTGGACCCACAGTCGGCCAGCGGGCACCTGTTACTGTCAGATGACTGGAAATGTGTGACCTACAGCAGCCTGTACCGGAGTAACTACCTGTACCCCCAGCAATTTGACTGTGAACCTGGGGTGCTGGGCAGTAAGGGCTTCACCTGGGGCAAAGTCTACTGGGAAGTGGAAGTGGAACGAGAGGGCTGGTGTGATGATGAGGATGAGGGGGCTGAGGAGGAAGACGTGGAAGAGGAGGAGGAGGTGGAAGAGGAGGTTGGCTATGGGGATGGATATGATGAATGGGAAACAACAGATGAGGATGAGGAATCATTGGGGGAAGAAGAGGAGGAAGAGGAAGAGGAAGAAGAGGAGGTTCTGGAGAGCTGCATGGTGGGGGTGGCCAGAGACTCCATGAAGAGGAAGGGTGGCCTCTCCCTGCGGCCAGAGGATGGTGTGTGGGCACTGCGTCTCTCCTCTGCGGGCATATGGGCCAACACAGAGCCTGAGGCTGAGCTCTTCCCTGCACTGCGACCCCGGAGAGTGGGCATCGCCTTGGATTACGAGGGGGGCACCGTGACTTTCACCAACGCAGAGTCGCAGGAACTCATCTACACTTTTACTACCACCTTCACTCGGCGCCTGGTCCCCTTCCTGTGGCTCAAGTGGCCTGGGACACGCCTTCTGCTGAGACCGTGAGCCCGGAGGCCTGCCCCTTGACTCCACACTGTAGATGGTTTGGTGTTCAGGAACACCAGGACTTTGTGACCTTGGGGTCCAGGGGCATGGGTGGAGATGGAGAAGACGTGCCTGCTTAGAGTGCCTGGAGCAGAGGAGAGGAGGAACTTGTATCTGCTGCCATCCCTCCCTGTCAGTGTAGCCCTTCAAGGCCACGTCCAGTGCTGTGGCTCCATCTGTTTTGCCCCTGTTCGGCTCTTGAGCATCCTGTGGGGAACTTCAGCCTTGAAATCCGTGAGGGCTTTCTCACTGCCTTCCACCAGCTCTGCTCTGTTGATAAGGGGCCGTGGCTGTGTGTTCTTGCCCAGGGTGGCATCCACTGCTGTCTTGCCCTCTGGGTGAATTAGCTAATGACTACATTTAAGGATTTTTCACTGTTCTCAAATCTCACAGGGTCCCCTGTGCCCAGATCCATTCTGCTGCCTGCCTTCTGCACTCTAACTCAAGAGTTGATACACATGAAAGTGCTAGTGAGGATTTGAGTGTCGCTCTGCTGAGACATCACAGGCCATTCAGAACCAAGCATACAGGAGGTGGCCCTCCCCAGAGCCATCTGTGGCCTTAGGGGAGGCATCTAGGTAGATGTGACACCAGGGGAACAATTGTGGTCATTGCTCAATAACTTCTCTGTAGATTGACCCCCTCTGTGGAGGGAAGTTTTTCAAAGGATCCTGAATATCCAGCTAAAAACACCAGAGTAAATAGCCATAGAGCAAAGCCTTCCCTCTTTTGGAAGATCACCATTACTCTGATCATCCCCCTCCAATAAGTTTCTGTCACTGGCTCAATTCAACATCAATTTTCGTCTTCCTAGGATGAGTAGGATTGGGAAGAAAGAGTTGCATGGGAGGGAAAGGTAAGCAGCAGGAATCCAGAATGAGCCTGCTGGGGCCTCATGCCAAGGTAGAGATCAAGTGTCTTATTTCCCACCCCAAGATCCAGACTTGATCTAGCAGCCCCTCTCCCTGCCACCCTCATGCCCATAGCTCGGCATACAGGCTCCTGCTCCAGCCAGACTTCCCATGGTCTTCATCCTCACTTTTACTCATTTCAAGAATTTCTGCTCTGCCCTGCTTAGCCAAGCTTTAACCCTACCCCTTGCTTAAAGAGACTGTTTCTAACAGCTGTGGATCTCTGAGCCACCACATTGTCTCAAAGTTACCCATTTTGTAAATATCACATGCTGCCTGAGTCACATCTACATCTCATTTCCACAGCTAGTTTTGTAAGCTCCTTGAGGGCAGATACCAGATATTTCTCTTGTATTCCCCATGGCACCTAAAGCAGTGCTAGGCACATAGTAGGTGCTCAATAAAATATTGTTGAATCATCAGCTTGGAGATAAATATACTTTATTTTAACCCACATATTGCTAGACCTTCCCATGGAAGGAAGTCTACAAAAAGGCTCACTTGATAGCTGTCACTCATTCCTTGCCTTCAAGTCAGAACCAACTCATAGCTGGCCCTCCAGCAGATTTCCAAGGCTATAAATGACACTGGAGGAGATGGCTCATCTTCTGCCCCCCTTGGGTCTGCTGGTGGATCCAAACTGCAGAGGTGCAGTCTGGGTTAGCAATACAACTCCCTATGGACATGGACTATACCGTGGGAGCTCCCTATATTGATATCTGTAGCCTGGGGCAATTTGTCCTTTTCTCTGTGCCTTTTTTAATTCTGATTTTGCTTTCTGTCATTTGCACATGTTGTCAGTTGTGGAATACCTCGAAGATGGCCTCCCATAGGATCATAGACCAGCCATCAACCAGTCTCTGTCTCCACCTTGTTATCTGGCTGTGGTTCCATGCAGCATCCCAACATCTGTGGAATGTGATGACCTTTGTGATAAAGGTGACCGCCAGCACGGCACATCCAAGCCTTTCCTGAAAAAGTCATTAGTACTACACAGTAATCTTCACAGATTACATATCCAGCCATCTCACACTTTCTCCTGATTTTGAAATTATTATAATTGCCATTGTACAAGTGGAAATGGAAAGGACCTCTAAAGGTGACACGAGTAGTTCTTTTGTAGGGGCATTTTAGTTTCTTTTGTGAGCATATTTATTTGGACAAATATTTCTACAGCGTTAAAATTACTAAATACATAAAGAACAACAATTTTTTATCCTTTCCTCCCATCCCCATTTCCTGACACATTTCATCCTTTGAGAGGGCTGATTTGGTGTTGACCTCCCACTTCTTAAATAGCATGAGTGTGCAAACTCTTGACTTGTCTAGGTGAACCACAATACACACCCACCACTGTCCTTGTAATGTTGGGTTTCCAAGGCTCTAAGTCTCTCTGGGAAGGAACTGCCCATCTTTTCCCCATGGACTGGCTGATAGATTTGAACCTTGGTTGGCAACCAGACATGTCCAGTTCCAGAGTTCCTTAGTTCCTTAGATAAGCATTCAGTATTTTCATTGCTTTATTAATGTAGCAGTTTTACAGCTGAGTCATGTTGTAATTCCTTTTCTTGCCTGCATAACTTTTTGTCTTTGCTAGAGTTAAGTGTCTTAATTTTGCTTCATTTCCTACATTCTTATTACAAATTGAACTCAAACTCTAACAGTTGTAAAAATTTCAAGATCTTCTGTCAAGTGCTCTGTCAATTTTGTCTAGAGCTCCTGACCTCACCTGTGTCCACAGCTTCCAGGTTTTCCCTTCACTGTCATAGCGAGGATTCTGAATTTGTTCTTTTATTTCCCTACCCCATTTCCTGCTGCTTAATTTACTTATTTAGGTGAAACATGTACTATGTAGTTTCATGATACGGTATATATGGGAGGTATTACAGATTGGACTGTGTCCCTCAAACAAAAATAGCATGAATTCTGACTTCTGTGGTAATAATCCTGTAATGGGTGTGGGTTGTCACTGTTTTATTAACAAGACAGGGTTAGTGCAGTGTATTTTTTGTCAGTCTTTTGATGTGTATTAAATGAAAACCAGCAAGGGGGCTGAGGGATGACACATCCAAGTCATGTGAAGAGCAGAAACTAAGGTAAACAGCACAAACTTAACTGCCATGGAGCAAAAGACCTTTTCTCAGAGCCCACAAAAGAAGGCTTCCCAGTGCTGGCATCCTCAATTTAAATTTCTGGCCTCCTAAACTGAGAAAATAAACTTTTTTTTTAAAGCCACCTACTTGTATTTCTGTTACAGCAGCACTCAATAATGAAGGCGGGAAATACCTGAAAAAAAATCATAAATGTCTTTATTCTACCTTTGTAACTTACTTGATAAATCTAGTAGGTATAGAATTCTTGGTTGGGAATATTTCCTTCGGAATCGTGAAGACATTTGCTCCACTACTCTCTTGCTTGCTTTATTGTTAAGAATTCTCTTGACACCTTGATTTCTAATCCTTTGTTGATAGCCTTCTTTTTGCCTCTGGAAGCTATCTGTTCCCCAGAGTTCTTTTTCTTAGTGATAACCTTTGTATATTTTCTCCACCCAATGTTCTGATTAACTCAATGGCCTCTTTCATTCTGGCAATGCATAATCATCAGTTATGAGAAACTTTGTTTCTTGATTTTTTTTTCTCTTCCATTTTCTGTTTTCATATTTATCTCAGCCTTTGCCCATCTCTTGAATACATTTATTAACTGTCTGGTATATCAAAATGTTCCTAGGTTGTAACAGTGATAGATAAGCAAAGTCCACGCACTCATGGTGTTTGCATTCTAGAGGAGTGCAACAGGCAATTCATTAAAAATAATAAAATGGTTACAACACTATGCAAAGAATGAAAATGGGTTGTAACAGAAAGTGACTGTCTATAATATTGTGGTTGTTAAGTGCCATTTTGAGTCGAGCACTATTCATAGTGACCCTATGAACAAAAGATCTGAACCCTGTTCTGTAATTATAGAGTTTCCAGAGGCACGCTGTTTAGGAAGTGGATGCTTCTGATGCTTTCAAGCCTGTCTCATTCTGAGAGTTCCACCAAACACTGTCCACCATGGGTAACCATTATGGCATTTGACACACCAGTGGCACAGCGTTCAGCATTACAGTAAACCCAAGTTAACTCAGTATGGCAAATTAACAGACCAATGTTATAACACTTAGAAAAATGTTATCCCAAACACAACACCAGGCCTGAGGGCTGCCAGAGGGTCCAATTGACTTAAATACAAGGCCTGCCTACCAGGTCCTGGTCCAGGTTCCTAAACAAGAGGCTTTCAGCCCACAGCTCATTGTTGGCTAAATCCGGCAAATCCAGTCAGTGCTCACACATTGTGAATGAAAAAGACCAACCAAACACTCCACACCCTAACCTCACCAAAACAAGAGAACACACCTTCCAGAAACTAACCACTTCACACATGATCAAAAAGATTGTCCGAGAAGATGGCATTAAAGTTGAAATCTAGTTGTTGAGATGGAAGATCTAAGGTAGAAACATGCCAACAAGCAGGAACCTCAAAAGTCCTAAGGCCAGCTGAGTACAGTTGTGGGAGAGCAAGGAGAGTGGTAGACATGACAGCAGAGTGGTAAACGAGGAAATCATGAAGGGCTTTGTGGTCTGTGCTAAGAAGTTTGAATTTAAAAGAATTGGTGGGAAGCTATTGAAGCATTACAGCAAAGGAGTAATTATTCAATAAAACAAGTATTGCACATCTGTTCTGTGCTTGACACTGCTCCCATTTAGCAGTTTTTTAAAAAGATCCCTTACCACAAGCAGATTACATGTCAAGAGAAACCATAAAATGAAGCAAAACGAATATATAGTTAGGTGCCATTCATAGTTGACCCTCCAGCAGGTTTTCAGATGCTGTAATTGCACAGAAGATTGGAGAAGAAAGAAGAAAGATGGACAATCTCCCATGGGGGGTTTATGGGGGAAAATATGCTGGAGGGTCCACTATAGGGCAGTTTGGACTCAACGGAACATAAAAATAACATGTATGTGTGTGTATAGATCGATAGCTGTTGTGCACTGTCAAGTCAGA